ATGAGATGGATGTTAAACCAACCACCAATTTGCTTCACAATATAAACAAAATTTCATTAAGAAAATTTTGAAATTTACCGTGTTAATGAATTAATTATTTGAAAACCGTCAGTACCTAAATGTGTGGTGATAACTGAATATTTTAAAAGAAATGAATATTTATTTATGTCACTATGCATAAGTAACATGACCATGCCATTTCCGACATCAATAGAAAATTACTATTCCAAAAAAGTATTTTCTCTATGATGATCATAATAGAATTACATACATTGTTGAATACGTTTTCTATATTTTGTACATGCTCACAAAACTTGGTTTATGAAGCTTAATGGCATACATTTGGCAATACATTTATTGTAAGGAGATAATACAAAGAAATTTTCTCTGCCTAAGCAGTTTTTAACGATAAAAAAGTACGTGTTCTTCACCGAACTTTTCGTTGTAAACATTCCGAAGAATTTATTCGATATTCAACTTCGATGGCTTGATGCATTACTCATCAATGGGATAAACACAATTAAATTAGCATTAATACCTTATTTATTTATGCCACGAAATACTGTTGTCTATCGGGATTACGAAACGATTTTGAAACATAAACGAAGATTATGCCGAACAGAAAAATAAAAATGGAAGATTTATTTCAAAATAAAAAGCGCAGTAAGTGGCATTATAATAATAAATTTATTGTGGTTAATACTGTTCAAAAGTAGATTAGTTCAGAAATCCGCAATTAATGGATATAAAACCCACTGACCTCCCAATCCCTTCAGTAAGATCAGCGCCTCTACCCAAATCATAACCCCACAAGTCTGGCAGCCCAAGGCAATGGACATCAGGAACGACCAATATTCTCAAGGTACACGGAAAGTACAGTAAAACAGTTTTTGTTAGTTTATTCAAAACAAAAATGACAAAGCACATAAATTGAGAATGGTACCCATCCTTTATTTCATAATACAACTTATACAAAATGTTGATGAGATTTCTTCCATTCACAAAACATTGAGCACAACACACCGATGATAAAAATACATCGACTTCAAACATCGAACATCGACGTGGCGTCCGAAGCATCTGCCCGAATCCGCTCCGCACTCGGCGCGTCCGGGGCGAAACATATGAAGGCGGCGGTCCGCGGATTTGGAGCTGGGCCCGAAGCGCGTTGCGAACCGGCGCGACGAGCGGGTCGAGCTGCGCGGAGTATTTTTACCGCGGACCCACCTCCAAACGCAGGGGGCCGGCTATACTCGCACAAGGCGACACACACGCTCACACACACACACACACACACACACTCGACACCGACGCGCGGCGCTCGGGTTTCTAAGCGGCACCCGCCTCGCGCTTTCCTCACAAACCGCGCTAAAAATAAAATTAATTTTGCAAACTTATTCGCGACATTAAAATAAAACAACTAGTGCTGCTACAATTGCACGTAGGTATCGCCCGCGTATTTTCATCCGAAATTACGCTAAAAGTACTCTGTGTACATGACCGTATTTCAAAATCTATATTTAAGGAACAGATTTACTTTGGGGGAAAATTTCTGTCTTTAATATTTTAGGAAATATTGTAGGAAGATTCCGGACAAATTATAAACTTTTGCGATTTCCGTAAAATCAGCTTTTACAACGAAAATGAGGCCTGCACCCTTCTCTTAAACGTCCTTCACACTATCCAACGACAAAATTTAACCAAAAACGATGAAGCCATTTTTTTGAAAAATGTTGACAATGTCCCAGGAGCTTCATGTAAAGTGCCCCCCAACATTAAAATATCGGTTTCAAATTTCATGGGGCCGCGACATCAGCCACATCGATCAGGGAATATTCATTTTGGAGAAAATCGCGTGAACGGTTTACGTACTAGCGTTGTCCATAGGCGGACAGAGATGTTTTACCGTCATTCAATTTTTGTGACTTGATAAGGGGATTTGTTCCATTAACTTGAGCTACTGGATTTATCCACTTTTTTGTTACTAGTGCCTCGTAGTAAGAGAATGTCTCTTTCGGAGTAAGGGGTTCAGCAGGGTTCCAGGTTCCAAGGGATTGGATTTTCGGCAATCGCTACTAATAGGGTAGGAGGTCGAATTCAGTCGCTGTCTAGAGGAGAATTCCAGCGGCCGGCTGCTCTCATCGGTAGTTTTCCGTGGATTCTCCGATCAACACCTGGCGAATGCCGGAGCAGTGCCCTAACAAACGGGCCAGGGACTGCGCGCGATCATTGCTTCCTCTTCCTTGTTAACCTTATTCTCTCCGCTTGCACACCAACACGCGTGTGGGAGCGTGCCCCGCTGGAGGGAGATACCTAGAGGCGTAAATCCCTGTAGGTCGGCGCCGGACCTCACCATCCTACGGGGGAGGAACACCCACGCTTCCCGGAATATAACATTAACTACACCAACGGGACAACTGTCCGTAGCAGTTGACGTGCTCGAAAACGTCAATGAATAAAAGCTCCAAAATGGTACGTGGATACTAGTTTCCTTTTGGTGTAGTACATTTTCACACGCACCATCAGCCGTATTTAACCTACGTTAACTGACAGTCTGATACATACGATAGTTTCAACAATTCAAGCAGCGCTAATCACACTCACTTTTCTTCATAAAGGCGAAACAAATTTAATTTGGTGAACGTATTTTCATGGTGGTGCACATAGCTTAAACCACAATTAAAATCTGCAGTTCAATTGCAGTTTTCTTTTGAGAAAGTTCGTTTGCATATATAACACATTGCGATGTTTATTTCACTGTTTATTGTCTGTAATAAATACCACCCATTTCACGCTTTAAGCAGCAGTAATGTCGAAAGTTAAATATTAAAAGTTTAAATAATTGACGTTTGTGTCAGACTTAATCCACCACCATTTTTACTCCTATGCATAAAAAATCACTCGATTACTGATTTCTGCGAATGTCTTTTCACATTCAAAATTAGAGGCGTGCTATTTAAAACCAAGTTCGTTTCAGGTAAAAATAACTCGAAAATATGCAAAAATACATATTATCGAGAGAACCAAAAGAAATGAAAAAAGAAAGTATATTCCAGGAGGTCTCGCTCTCCAAACCATTTTGACATGTTCCCGCAGAGGGACGTGTTCTACATTTCATTTATTTCGTAGAAAAACATATGTGACATACGAGAGAGAGAAGAGTAATCTGGTTACGTTTTATTGAGCGCCAGGGTGTGTCTAACCTCCCCTTTTACCATACAAAAGTTAAATGATAAATAAAGGTACGAACAAAGCTTGATTAAAAACATTTGGATACCAAAAATGTTCGCTCCCGAGTACTAAATAGTAATTTACGATACGAGTGATAAAAATGACATTTTATTGCGCAAATAGAAAATGCTGTGACACGAGGCAGATAGACCGAATGGAGTAATTCAACGAGCAAAATTAAATCACTTTTACAACGTGCCATACCTATTTTTTCGACAGCCTAACTGACTTTCATTTTATTTTTATTCAAGTATAAAAAATAATTTAATGATACATTAAGGTTAGTCGTAGCTAATGCGGTCACATGAAATTATTTTGTTGCCTATGTTGCATTCACAGATTTATCCGAACACTTGAGCATCATCTCACTTTTAGCACCGGTGCTAAAAACTGAACATTTAGCACGGTAAACATGCTCTGAAAGAACGAATCACTTTTAATAGAGTACCTAAAAATGAATCCGCGCTGGTAAACGAAACTACAGATTTGATTCCAAACTACAGTTATGCTCACAAAACAGCAACCCATATCCCCGGTTCAACTCGTATCACACACAACTGGCGGAAGAAGAGAGCCGCTCGAGGCAGGCGATCGCGTTTCTGGGCACCCTGTAGCCCCCTTGCCTCGCATTCCGGGGCGGAGACGGAGGCGTGGCCGGCGGGCAACTTGCGGGGCACACGGTAGTTCAATACGGTGCGTCGCAAACCGAGCCGACGCTGTTCCGCACCCGGACCACAGTGGGGCTGCCCTAACACGGCAACACGCGGGGACGTTCTGCATAGACGCGGCGCGAAATCGACCGTTAGGGATACCTATGCGTGTATTCGTTCGCTCACACACACACACACGTGCGCGCGCGCGGTGGGGCAAGGCAGTAACGTTCGTCTGGAGTAGAACGTCTGTTGGGAATACTTGTGTATCTATACCGTTTGCTCACACACACACACACACACACACAAATGTGAGGCAGGGCGGCAGCGTTCATATAGAGTAGACCCAATGTTAGGGATACTTGTATAACTATTCCGCTTGCTCTCACACATATACTTCCATACACGCACACACATAAATATACACATACATACAGACGAGGTGAAGCAAGGCGGTTCGTCAGGAGTAAAACTTATGTTAGTGATACTCCTGTAACGACACTGCCCGCTCACATACACACGGCTTGAGGCAAGAAGTTATCGTTCGTCAGGAGTAGAACTGGTGTCGGTTCCGAAAGATGACGAGCATAGCGCGGGAGTTTTTGGGTGGGATAAACAAGAGGGCGTCGACGCTGAGGGGTATTTATGAGTGCATACGGCAGACACACACACACGCACACAACGTTCGTCTGAGGAGGATTTGTGTCTCCGCCAGTCAGACAATAGAGAACAAACAGAAGGCGTGGTCTATCGCTCAACCGTTCATCCGTGACTAACGTCTGGATCCTACATTTCTGGCGCGCCATTCGGGTCCAACGCAACAGCCGACCTCTCGTACACCAACTGTCGGGCTTCTCACGTCACAAAACAGTTCGCCGACGAGAAGCCAAACGCGACGAAACGAACAAGCTCACGGGCGCCCCGCTGGCGCACGGGGTGATTGGAAAGCAAACGCAACAGCCGATCTCTCATTCGTGAACTGTTGTACTTCTCACGTCACCAACAGTTTTCCGACCACGCAATGAAGCGAACAAAAGGCACGACCGCTCGCTGGCACACGGGGCGGGAGAGAGGGTGTGGGGGTGGGGTGATTGGAAAGCAACGGTCACCGGCACTCACCTTTTTCTGCTGCTTCTCCCAGGCGGGGTCTAACAGCCCCTCCCGTTCCCACTCTTCTTCCTGCTCCATGTAGCCGTCGCCGCCGTATTCCATGCTATTCATCCCGTTCATGTCGGTACGCCTCCGCCGTGCGTCGGGTCGGGTCGAGGGTGTCTCGCCGCTGCGCTGCTACTGTCGTCGCCGCCGCCGCCGCCGCTGCGTCGTGCCTGCGTGTGTGGGTGGGTGTTTGAGGCCGCTGCACTGGTCGGACTGCCCGAAGCTCGGCTCGCTCGCCTTGCCTGCCTGCCCGCTGCCGCCGACGCCGCCGCCTTGCGCCGCGCCAACGTCGTCTGTTCGTTTCCCCCTCCACCGCCTCCGCAGGCGATGCAGCTGCCGCCACGCGGCGCGCCCGTCGACGCCGCACAGCACGCGCGCGCCATCTAGTGATCGCCGGCAGTACCAAGCGCGCGTGGCTACCGCCATCTCGTGGGCGCTGCGGGCACCTTTTGGCCCGCCATTTTCGAAAACCGCTATTTTTTTCAAGCAACGTAGCAAGATCCCAACAGAAAGACAGTCATTCCTCTGAGGAAACAGCCCGGAAAATCCATAGACCGACACATAGTTCGGGCGAGCTGAATGAGGCATCCTGTAGCCAAACGCGATAAAAAAAGGACAGGATTTTAGGACAAATGCCTATAACGTTCCTTCAGGAGGTTGTGGAAGGTAATTGCAGATGTTTACGAAACATGAAAAAGAACAAAGTTTACCTAACATGAAAAATGTCTCACTCTCGTCTCCGATAAGCACGCACGTCTTAGGTATTTGCATCCATTCCTGATGCAACTACGCTGTTGATAGATTGGGAATGAAAAGTGTGAAAGAATGAAATGACAATAAATGCAAAAAAATAATAATATTCTTGTAGTCACTCTCATAAATGAAAAAATATTTCACTTTCGTGAAAAATAAAGAGTGCATAATTCAATCCTGTATGATCAGTTTTAGATACCAGAAACATAACCTTTCATTTCTAATGATTTTTAAACACTTGGTATAATCATTTTGTAAGCTATTTTAATTGCCTAAAACATCACTTTTCATGGGTAATGGTGCCTAATTTCATAGTCTGAGTGTTCAGGTGGTGAATAATTAAATTATTGTCAGGGAATCTTTGTTACTAATAAATTAAACAATCTACAAATGTTGGTTATGACTTGCCAGCAACCTTAGGTGTCGGCTGACACAATTTATTCATTTCGAATTCCTTCTTAATTAATTTTCTTCAATAATGTATTTTTCTACTTTTCTATTGTTTCTATTGATAGACACCGAATTCCTACCAAAAACACACATAATAATTTATTCTTAATCTTAACTTATAATATTTAAACACGATTTGGCCTTATAATATTTTATTCATGTCTGTAACTAATTGCCTAAACTTCCCTTTGCAGAATGTGCAGCAATCTTGGCGTTGCTAATGACGTCAGCGACTGTTCCATCTGGAGTTCTTATGTCCACACTGCATTTCAACTACTTAAAGTTATATTCTCATTCTCAATCTATTTATCTCAAGAATATTACAGACTTTTTTTTTTCTTTTTCTTTTTTCTTCATCGAAAAATCCTCTCAGACTAATCACAAAAATATTACTACACAATGCCTTGACGACCATCGTTCCTCACCCTACCAAATCGAAGTTCATTCTGTCTGAAATTCTTCGTTTACATTTTCAATCTGGCCTCATCGGTTCACTTGTTTGATTGTTACCTTTCTTCCTTGATGCGCTCTTGTCACACCGCAAGTATATATCGCAAGCGTCAATTGTCGCCTATCAACAATTTTTTGGGGGAAAATTGTCAACAAACTATATTTTCGGGAAAAATCCTAAGTTGTCCAAATTTTATTAAATCCACTTAATATTATGATTTTCTGATACTTTACGTTCTCGACGTCTCATATTAATTTACTTCATTGCGTAATTTCTTAAATTTTGCAAGCTATTAGTAAGCAGCTGATAGTATAGTTTTTGCTTCTAAATGCCAAAAATCCCTTTAGGTATTTTAACTTGCTTCAGTACTGTGTTACATATTTTGATATTTTCACAAAATATTTTATTTTATTTTATCAGTTGTATATCTTATATCTATCAAATATTTAAGACATTGGCATGTAGGGTAAAGAACAAAGTGGGTCATGTTATTCTTCATCTACCTAAGGAAACATAAAACCCATGTAAAAGTCTGTATGAAAACCTCAAGATTAACTAAAATAGTATACGCTACAATCCTTTTGGAGATGTGGATATACAAGTGGGTCACCTAAGAAGTAGTCAAGATGACCTCTGAGTTGGAACAGGCCTCCAGTGGCTTTCTGTGAAGTAGAAGAAGAAGTAAAAGTCTGTATGTGACTATAATTTTCTCGTGGGTTTTTTAGCTGTAGAATCTGGTCCTCACCATTTTACTATATAGAATGACGAATAAAAGTACCAACAAAGTATGGGTAGAAACATTTGTTAACTATTATAAACTAAAACATTTTCTCTCCGGTATTAACAACCTAAATAGTAATTATTTGCATCAGTAACAAACTACTGATTTGATATTATTGCACTGCTAATAAAAAAAAAACACATCCACATCTCTACCTCCACTCCTACCACAACTAACAAAAGGGGAGCTCACCACAACAAGTGCATTATGCTTCTACATCTATATCCATACATTCATGCTTTCTGTACTTGCCCCATTATGTTTCCAAACTTTTTATCCCCCGGATTTTTAATTTTATTTATTGAAATAAATTTATTTATTCAATACAAATTTAAACGTTTGGTTTGAAATAACCTTATCAGTGAAATAGAAAATAAAAGAAATAAAATACAATTTATTTTAAATTTTATTAATTTAGTTATTTAATTTTTTGTAAACTTAAATGCACAAAACAAGTATGTAAATTTTAATGAAAAGCTAGGTTCACATATTTACAACTCTTCTAAATTATATTATTAATAGTTTGCATTGCAATATATTACCAGTAATTTTTCATGGATCGCAATTTCAAGTTTGCGATGCTTGGGAGACAAAATGAGTTTCAATGTGGAGGAGGATCTCTCAACATCTACTGAAGTGACTGGCATATATTTTAGAAGTCCAGCAACAGCAACACTGAAACCTTCAGAGAATTTACTTTTATTTCCTCTTAAAATTTCGGTGCCCTTGATGAATTGTCAATTGACAATGTTCTCAGAACACAGCTGGTATTTATGAAAAAGGAAAATGGAGAAAAATGTATTGGTATACTTTTAGGAATTCTCTCATATTTTAAAATACGACGATGTGAATTGAATGTTTCACAATGAATGTTCATGTTGAACCATGGCAGATTTTCTGATATCTTAACATTGACTATACAAATAATACATAAAAGGCAAAAAGTCCAATAATTCTAAAAAAGGAATTTATGCTAAAAAAGCAAAAATAAGCAGTATGAAACTTTGTCATATGTCATTATTTGCCATGATTCATGCACATATATTATCAGCCTTTAAATAAGTTTGCTACAATAAAACAGGCATTTGCCTAAACTTCCTTTCCCTGAAATTAAATTTTCAGGTGAAATAGTTTTTTTTTATTTGACTACTGACATTTTTCATTTAAAAAAGAGGTAAAAAGAGGTAACACTTTGACAATAATCTCATTAACACAACACACATACAACAGTTTGGCACAAAGGGAGAACAATTTTTGTCTTGTGTATAAAGTAAAGAATTTTTGCTATATGTTACTCATATGGTAAAGTACCACATTTCTCAACATTTTGAACATAATTATATACTTTCAACTTAATTCTTTGCTAGTTGGCAGATTTTTTCTACCTCTGGTATTCTGTGTCATCATAAAAGTAAATCATTTGAGGTTCAACTTCTTTCTGAGTGCACTTTTGTGTCTCCAAATTGAAGACTTAATGAAGGTAATACTGGAAGCTACCTGAGTAGGCATTTGCTGAAAGGTAGAGTATTTTCCCAAACTAAAGTTAAGTTTCTTTTTTCATCTTTTTATCTTCTTGAATATAAATAAAAATGTAAGTAAAAATTAGTCTGATTGAAATGAAGAAAGAAGAAATTTCAATTAAAATTTCTCTACACTTGGTGAGTTACGAGAGAAGACACTTTTATCCAATAGGGAGAGTGAATTTTTGAAAATGAAGCTCCCTATAGGATAACAGTGCTCCCGCTCCTAACTCACCAAGTGTAGAGAAATTTTATTCGGAGAATAAATGCTAGTGACTCAACCTCTTTTGATTAGTTTTAGATGAAGATAGATTATCTAACAAATTTATCATTTCACTTTGAGACTATCCTTGTGCAGTGGTAAATCAATTTCAATATTGCCCTGCATGTTTTACAAAGGAAAACATAATACTGACAATGCATCTCTAATGATTATAGCTGACTCAAGTGTCCTTGTTCTACATTACCTATTCCACTCGCTGTATTTTTCCCCGATATTGATTCTGCTGTATTCTGTTGTGTTTATACTAATTATACATGACATATTTGTTTATGGTTCCCATTGTTGTCATTGCCGTATTTAATACTTCTTCAAATATTAATTTCATCTCACTATCCTTGTGAAATATCATAATATAGATTCGCCTACAAAACAATTAATTGAACAATTGCAAAAGAAGAAGTGAACACAAAATTGGACTAAATTTGTGGAGTTTTAATCTCTTCAAAAATGAAGAGACCAAAATATAGAAGTGTTAAGAAAATCCAGGAAAGAATCAAATGTAGCTGTAGAAGATATTGTGAAATAATTTTGGAACTAATTGAAAATTATCTTAGATTAGGATTAAAGAATAATACAGAAGAACAGTTTACAAGTGACCTTTCATGAGAATTTTGTGCATAATAGGAAAAAAGCATTAAAAATGTAGTTGTATTAAATTCTGGACCATCACATCATCCTTACCTGCCAGTATTTTTCACAGCGATCATAATTTTGAAATTGAAAATTACCATTTCGTATCTTGAATGGAGGCAATTGGGTGTTGGGAATTTTTGAACAGGAGTATAAAAATACTACGATCATTATTAAGTCCAATGCCACATGTAGTAAGAACATCTTTGAACAAAGTTTGCAAGAAAGAAATTTTCAATAAATGAAAATACTTTTAAAAAAGCAATGTCACCAATGCCACATTCAACTAGTAGAGAGGTAAGAGCTTTATTTTTTGGCTCTAATTTTGAAGGGCTGGGATCGCTTAAA